AGGCCCCCCAGCTATATCCCCACGGACTGAGGCAGCAGGTGTTCGTGGAGCCCCCGCCGTGTGCCAAGCCCTTCACCAAGCACCAGGAACCCATGTGACAAGGCAGGCCAGTTCCTGCCTGGGAGCCACCACAGCCCAGTGGGAGAGTCAGGCAGCAGCCACAGCAACCAGAGAGTGGCTGGGGCCAGGAAGACAGCATGGCGGTGTGGACAGGGCTAGTGAGATCTTTCCCTCGAGGTGGTCCAAGAGAACTGCAGCATTTAAGTGGAGACGTGGAAGACGAGGAGGAGCCAGCCATGCCACGAGCCACAAAGAGAGAGTCCCAGGCAGAGGGGTCAGCACGTGCAAAGGTCCTGAGGCACCAAGGGCCTGATGTGTTCAGGAACAGCAAGGAGACCAGCGTGGATAGAACACAGCGAGCCAGGAGAGTGTAGGAGGGAGAGAGACCTCTCTGAGGTCACCTGGCCAGCCCCACCTAGCAGCCGAGTCACTCACCACATCCAGAGAGAAGAGGGACTGGAAAGCTGAGTTGGAGGCTGGGACCAGAACCTCCACGAAGGGCTGCAGTCGCAGCATGGCATTGTTGGTACGAAGTGTGGCCACGGGCGTGGCCCCCAGCCGCACCTTGAGCACCAAGGGCCTGGGCTCAGGGAACTGGCGGGCCACCTGGGAAGCAAGGAAGGAGAGAAGCCCCACCGGGCTTGGTGAAGGCTGGGCGAGCTTTCCCTGCAGTCAGCCCTCTCGTGCTCGTCAAGCCTCTGCACCGCGTAGGGCTGGGCCGCTACGGTGCGTCTGCCTGGACCAGGCAAGGGATTTGGTCCCCTAGGAGGTAATCCCTGAGCTTGGTCCTGAAGATGGATGAGGGGAAGGAAGGAGAAAGAACTCTAGGCAGAGGGCAGTGCTTGGACAAAGGATAGTTAAAAGATAATAAAGACAATTCAAAATTAAAAGGTAATCATGAAAAAAACAAAACAAAAAAGATGATGTCTGGACAGGAGAGGCCCTCTCTGAGGAGGAGGAGAGGCAGACTTAAGGGCAAAGATACTGGGACAGACAGGAGCCAGCAGAGACCCCACAGTCCAGGAAACCCTACCCCAACCCGACAGCCCCCAAATGACCAGAAACGTCACCGACCTCAGGGATGAGCCGGCCCAGTGCAGAGGTGTTCAGTGGGTTGTCATCCGACTCCTGGAATCATCCCCCACACATGATGGGCTTTAGGGCAGCCATTCTCCAAGCTAGACCCCCACTCATTCCTCATGGTCAGGGTCCTTCCCCACAGACCCCATTTACCCCTCCCAACAGCCACCCTATGGCCCCCAAACTCCAACTGCCGACCACCTGTGATTCAGCCTCAGCGGGGTCTCCCCAGCCTCTGTCCCAGTGTGCTTGTGCCCTGGGCAGCAGGCCCAGCCCTCACCAGGTGCCCCGTGACGTCCAGGTTGAGGGTGCCAGCCTTCTGCAGCAGCAGGAAGGTAGAGTCGAACATGTGCTGGGAGATGCCCACAGTTACCATGGTGTCGGTGGTGCCCATATCTGGTGGCAACGTGAAGCGGGTGGCATCCTTGGGCAAGACAATGGGTTTGCCCAGCAGGAAGAGAATAGCCTATGGATGGGGTGGGAGGGGGCAGGGGTCAGAGGGAGGGTAGCAACCGGGCCCAGGAGGCAGGTGACTCTGAGACAGAACCTTGACCCCAGGTGCCAGCCTTCCCCACCCTGCCAGGTGCCACCTGCTGTCTAGCCTCATGCCTTTGCTTGTGCACCCCACTCCCACCTGGAATGCTGCCCCAGCTCCTCTCCCCTTAACTCTCCTGCTCCTTTAGAAATCTTCGGGGACACCGAGGACCCCAGGGCCAACAGGTCCCCGGCTCTGGGCTTGCCAAGAGGCACTTACATTGATGTCCAAGGAAATGCAGTCACTGGTAACAGTGGGTGCGTCGGTCATGTAGTAGCGAATCTGAGACTCGGGGCCCACAGGGTTGAGGCCTCAGTGCACCCAGGAGGGGAAGAAAAGAGCACATTGAGGGCTACCCACCAGCGCCTTCTTTACCCGGAACACCCAATTATCCTGCCACCCCGATCAGCCAGAGCCGGGTAGTGGCAAAACTTTCCAAAACTATCAAGAATCAGAAATCAACAGTAATGTTTATAAAATTCCCAGGTGGAGGAGTGGTTATGTAACTTTTTAAAATTTGTATTGCTAGAGGACTTGTGTACTTGCCAGAGAGAAACAGAGAGAGACAGAGAGAAAGAGAGAGAATGCACCCCCAATGAGGCATGGTCATGTTGCAACCCTTCTCCTCCACTTCTCCATCCTGTTGGGGTTTGGGGCTCATAGTCATATGTGCCTGGTGTCTTTTTAAGCCATGGGCCAGGATTTGAACCATGGTTAGCCATACGGGATCCAGCTCCCTTAACCACTAGGCCACCAGGCCAGCCTGGGTGGTTGTGTAACCTTTCTAATATGAACTCAAAATAAGTGCATAGTTATTCAATTAAACAAGGTGTAATTTTAAATCTACAAAACATCTCACATACAACTCAGGCAGAGGTCCCAGATCCTAAGCACATACCAGGCCCCTGCCATGACGGGCGTGCCCATCGCTGCCTCTCTAGGGTGGTACAGAAAGATTACCAAGAGTAATCTTTCTCTCTATGGCCCCTTCTAACCATGAGAATCTGGTTTCTAAAGTCTCATCATTCTGGAAATGTGAATGGTATCGTTAAATATAATAAATCCTAAGATTCAAGAGTGCCAAGAGTCACTGATGTTAAGGCTCATAATAGGAAGATTTTGTTTGATTTTGCTTCTCAGGTCATTTGGTGTATGATATGGAGATTCTAGAACCAAATACTTGTTTCTAAAAGTTGGAGATCCCCAGATTCCATGAACTAGCGAGCACTTCGTGAGCCCACAGTCCAGTCGTCCTGCCACTGACTTCTGGAGTGAGCTTGATCCAGAAGAGACTTTAGAGAGTCTCCTGGGCCCAGTAGGCTCCCGGAGGCCCCAGCCACCCTCCCCTGGGCGCCGAGGTCTTACCAATTAAAGTGCCCAGGTGCACATTGAGCCCCTGCACCAGGTTGGAGATGCTCAGGCAGATCTGTAGCAAGACAGAGAGAAGGCTGGGGTTGGGGCAGGGGTCGGGCAGTGCTCGGGGCTAGCAGTGGTGAGGCTACCTCTGGTAAGAGGCCTGGAGTCCCTGTCTAGAAGCCACTCCTGACCTGCACACTGAGCCTGAAATCTCCTTCTTCCTCACCTCTTTGCTGGCATCTTCCAGCACCTCTTCTGAGCACTGAGAAGGCAAGAAGTTGTCCAAAGGCTGATGAGGGCAGCGTGGGCCACAGACATCAGGGCAAGGACAGGAGTGGTGGGACACAGTGGGGTGGCTACAAGCTGGCCCTGAGTGACTGAGGCAGGAGCCTGCTGCCTCAGGACCCAGAGGCCAGCTGGCGAGAGGCTGGTGCCCATGGCCAGTGCCGCCCGAGGGCCC